TAGAGCTTGAGCTTTGTGGTGTCACCTCGAATTTCAACAGGTCTGCTTTTTAAATCCTTGTTCAGATTTGTCACATGCCTTGCTAGAGAACGCTTTGTATTTAATTCAAAGCTTGTTGGACACGTGCACTAATCTGCTTAACCTTCACTGTCAGATACTGCAAAGGTGTACTTTATCTGCCAAAACTGATGTGCACAACGAGCCAAGAGAAATACAGGCATGTGAAATCACCGCCATGAGCACTGGCTGGAGAAAATCAGTTCATGCAGCGTCGCCGCCACCACCGAAACAACGTGCTTCCAGATGGAAGGAGAGGCAGCTCCTGTACTTCACAGCACAGGCCTGAATTGCACATTTCACACATGCACAAACAGAAACTCTCAAAAAAATGCTTTTTACAGCAGCAGTAATAGATTGGTTTGCAGATAAAAAACTGTTTCCTGGCACTTATTTTTTTTCAATTAAGTGATAACTAGAAAGATCTTACCAAGAAAATCCTTCCAATACCTAAAGGGGGCCGACAAGAAGCCTGGAGGGACTTTGTACAAGGGCATGTAGGGACAGCACAAGGGGGAATGGCTTTAACCTGACAGAGGGGAGATTTGGATTAGCCATTAGGCAGTTCTTCCCTGTGAGAGTGCTGAGGCACTGACACAGGGTGCCCAGAGAAGCTGTAGCTGCCCCATCCCTGGCAGTGTTCAAGGCCAGGCTGGATGGGGCTTGGAGGAACCTGCTCTAGGGGAAGGTGTCTCCACTTGTGGCAGGGGTTTGGAACTGGATAAGCTTTGAGGTCTTTTCCAACACAAACCATTCTGTGATGAGAGCTTAGACTGAATCCATGTTTAAAGACCCATGACACAACAGATTTTCAGACACTGGACACTGTTCAGTTACTCTTGCATGAATAACTTCAGGTTAAAAATACATGAATTGTGGTGAACAATTCACATGATGCACAATGAAGGACAAAGCTAAAATAAGGACAGTACAGTCATTTAATCAAATTTACTGTTATTGTTTGGTGCTTAGCTGGATTAAATCTAAAGTGTTATCTGGAACTGATTTGATTAACTCGGATGAATTTTGGCAAAGTTTGTATGTATTTAGCTTGAAATTTATAAGTCAACATCTTCCTGAGCCTTACTTAATTCCACTCACATGAAATCCGGGCCTTGAGACAGCTCTGGCACCCTGCCTCCCATCAGGATGATGCTCTGAGCAGTCCTTTGAGACCTAGGCTGCAGTCACCAGCATATCCTCCATCTTTAGCATTTCTCATGCCATTCAAACAAATATTGCAGACTAGAATTGAAAGATACCTGAAAGTTTTCTTTTCATCTCATTGCATACATTGCTACAGTCATTCACTTGAGATGAGAGTTTTCTCATGTAAATCCCAAGTAGAAGAGAGTTCCAAGCCCTACATAACTTAACCACACCAGGTCAGGATTTTTGTAACAGGTGAATGTGATAATAATGATTGTTTTCAGATATTTTTCTTTAAAGGAAGAAGACATTAAATAATATATAAATTGTACATGACGTGACCGTAACATATACCCTGATCTGTTTTCAGGAACATCTTCAGACACTGGCTTGCAGAAGATTCTGGAACACAGAGGAGCAGCTGAAAGTCTTCAAGACTATTTCTTGTCTTCTCTAAACTCAGAAAACAATCTTTTCACTTTCTGGATGTCCAAGCCTTTCACGTTAAGCTTTACATTTGCTGCCTGAAAACCAATTACCCTCTCAATCTCTTGCTGTTTAAAGGGGCTGGCGAGCTGAACTCACTCACTGACCAGCATGGCGAAGGTTAGAGTTGCTTTAACTGTTTGCCAGTTGGTGCTAGAATTGCTAATGAATTCATTAACTGAGTCTTCCATGCAGAGTAACGAATGTCCACAGCTTTGTGTATGTGAAATCAGGCCATGGTTTACACCACAGTCAACGTACAGGGAAGCCACAACAGTTGACTGCAATGACCTTCGGTTAACAAAAATCCCCAGCAATCTTTCCAGTGATACTCAAGTCCTTCTGTTACAAAGCAACAACATTGCAAAGACCACAGATGAACTCCAACAGCTGTTTAATTTAACAGAACTGGATTTTTCACAAAATAACTTCACAAGTATCAGAGATGTGGGGCTCGCAAATCTCAGTCAACTTACTACTTTGCACCTGGAGGAAAACCAGATAACGGAGATGACTGACTACTGCTTGCAAGACCTTTGCAATCTTCAGGAGCTATATATAAACCACAACCAGATCAGCAGCATTTCTGCAAATGCATTCTCTGGCCTGAAAAACCTTTTGAGATTACATCTCAACTCCAACAAATTAAAGGTTATTGACAGCCGTTGGTTTGATTCTACTCCTAACCTTGAGATTCTCATGATTGGAGAAAATCCAGTGATTGGAATACTAGATATGAATTTCAAACCACTCTCAAATTTAAGGAGTTTAGTTTTGGCAGGTATGTATCTCACAGACATTCCTGGCAATGCCTTGGTAGGCTTGGATAGTCTTGAAAGTCTTTCCTTCTATGACAACAAATTGGTAAAAGTTCCTCAGCTTGCACTTGAGAAAGTCCCAAATTTAAAATTCCTGGATCTCAACAAAAATCCAATTCATAAAATTCAGGAAGGTGATTTTAAAAACATGCTCAGATTGAAAGAGCTTGGAATCAATAACATGGGAGAACTCGTTTCTGTTGATAGGTACGCACTTGACAATTTGCCTGAACTTACAAAGCTTGAAGCCACCAACAATCCAAAGCTGTCTTACATACATCGTTTGGCATTTCGCAATGTTCCTGCCCTGGAGAGCTTGATGCTGAACAACAATGCCTTGAATGCAGTCTACCAAAAGACAGTGGAATCCCTTCCAAACCTGCGTGAGATCAGTATCCACAGTAACCCGCTCAGGTGCGACTGTGTCATTCACTGGATCAACTCAAACAAAACCAATATCCGTTTCATGGAACCTCTATCCATGTTTTGCGCTATGCCCCCAGAATACAGAGGGCAGCAGGTGAAGGAAGTGTTAATACAGGATTCAAATGAACAATGTCTTCCAATGATCTCTCATGAGACCTTTCCAAATCACTTAAACTTGGACATTGGCATGACAGTGTTTTTAGACTGTCGGGCCATGGCGGAACCTGAGCCAGAAATTTACTGGGTCACTCCTCTCGGCAATAAAGTAACTGTTGAAAGTTTGTCTGACAAATACAAACTGAGCAGTGAAGGCACCTTGGAAATCTCTAATGTCCAGGTTGAAGACTCCGGGAGATACACCTGCGTTGCTCAAAACGTAGAAGGGGCTGACACAAGGGTTGCTACTGTCCGGGTGAACGGAACGCTTCTGGATGGTACCCAGGTTCTGAAAATCTTCGTCAAGCAAGCAGAATCGCATTCCATCTTAGTTTCTTGGAAAGTTAACTCCAACGTCATGACTTCCAATTTAAAGTGGTCATCAGCCACTATGAAGATTGACAACCCTCACATCACATACACTGCTAGGGTCCCAGTTGATGTACATGAATATAACCTCACACATTTACAGCCATCTACAGATTATGAAGTGTGCCTAACTGTGTCAAACATCCATCAGCAAACACAGAAGTCCTGTGTTAATGTTACAACAAAAAACGCAGCTTTTGCGCTAGATATTTCAGACCAAGAGACCAGCACTGCCCTCGCAGCAGTAATGGGGTCCATGTTTGCTGTCATCAGCCTCGCCTCCATTTCTGTTTATATTGCAAAACGATTTAAGAGAAAAAACTACCACCACTCATTGAAAAAATATATGCAAAAGACCTCTTCAATCCCCCTGAACGAGCTCTACCCTCCACTTATTAATCTCTGGGAAGGCGACAGTGAAAAAGACAAGGATGGTTCTGCAGAGACCAAGCCAACCCAAGTCGACACATCCAGAAGCTATTACATGTGGTAACTCAGAGGATATTTTGCTTCTGGTAGTAAGGAGCACAAAGACTTTTTTGCTTTATTCTGCAAAAACGAGAAGTTGAAGACTTTTGTATTTTTGACTTTGCTAGTTCGTGGCAGAGCAGTGAGGACAGGTGGATATTTCAGGATTTTTTAGTATAGCGTATCGCAATTGTCTGACACAAATGGCAGCTTCACCTGGCTTCCAATCCTGGTTTCCTTTCGTTTTCTTCCTTTTTTTTTTTTTTTTTTTAGTTATTGTGCTAAACTTAATGCTGGTCTAACTACAGTGCTGAATACAATTAATGAGAGGCTGGGGTTACCCTGTGATCCAAAAGTAGCACAACCCCATTCCTCCGAAGCCATCAGTAGAGTACAGTATCTTGCAAGGCTAACATACAGTTTGGAAACTGCATTGAACTAGGTTTGTAACACTGGTCTAAGGACTCGTACACTGAGCAAATGAGACCTTGAATGATGTTAGTTGACTGTACTGTAATGTTGTATCAACTGATTTGAATGTTTTTGACTTTGAACAATGGGTTTTCTTTTTTTATTCTTATTTTTGTAGTAGTTGAGAAAAGCTTAGGTCAAGCTAACAGGCAATAGGAATATGTACATCCAATTTTTTAATGTAACAGACTAAATGTTAATTGTTCTCTTATTATTTTTATTCTATTTAGTAGACACTTTTGAAGAATACTAGAGTTCTGTTGTGTTTAAATCACCAACACATGGTGTTGAATGAAGGCAGAGCTATAATAAATTTAGTTTTGTTCTGGTTTTTTACTTTAGAAGTCACAACAATGTACTGGGTTTAGCTGTCACTGGTTTGACTGGTGATCATGTTTTGACATCAAATATATCCAAAATGTTATATAAAAATATTGTGGGTTTTTTTTCTTGATGGAATTACATTTCAAAAAAGTTCCAGTTGGTTTTTGTATGCATTTATTTTAATGGCAGTGTTTTCTCTACACTCGATGCAAAATGCTGAAAATAGTCTAATCAGACATGTATCTGTACGGCTTTTGGGCTCCAAATCACTGCAGAATCAAAACTGTTTGGCATAAGGTACACATCAAAAATAATTCCAGAAGTGTGTAACAAAACATTTTCCTTTTTGTACACTTTTCTGTTTATATTCTGAGCCAAGATAAAAATGAAGCTGACATTTAGCTGTCATTACAATCAGTGAGGACAAGGGAAACAACTCAGTGCTACCTAACTGAAATAAAACAGTTGAATCCTGGAATATACTTTAAAAAAAGAAAAAGTGAATTGGATTAATATTCCTTCAGAAGTACAAATCAAGATGGTTAAAACTAACAAAAAGTACTATGTTTGGCTCCACTGCTGAACTGTATTTTTTATAGGCTTAAAATTAACCAGTACTCTAGATATTTTATGGATTTAATATGGTCCGAGTGCAGAACTCAGAAAGTGGTGGTGTTTCTATGTGTGCACTGGGTATAATATAAAGGCATAATTTACAGCTGAACCTACAGAAGCTCTGTACGTTGTCTTTTCTGAACCCATGAAGTTCTCCAGAGACTGCACACGAGTGACAGGCAGGGTGGGTTTCTCCTGAGTTACACTTATGCTAAATACTAATCAGCAAGCACAGATTTTTCTATGCTCTATGACCACTGTCAATGGCAACTTTTTAAATGTTTTTACACCCCAATTACCTTCTTGGTAAGTAAAAGTTAATTGTTAAAGTAATGGATGTGCTTTGGGATTGTTTGAAGTTTTTATCTCACTGGCTTCTCAAATATATCAAAGATCCCCCCCCAAACTTACAGATAGCTTCAGACTTGTTTTTCCCCTTCAGGTAACTGTCTAAAAGTGAAAAAGTTATCAGCATAGTTTCACTAATAAGCTGCTTTGGTGCAAAAACTTCAGTACATCTCTTGGATACATGCCTTGTTGATCTTCCATTTCAATATAAAGCTAAACGAAGCTATTAATTATGCATTTAAATCAAGTACTTTATGCTGCTACACACAATCTTTTATATATTCATGAGATCAAATACATTTTTAATCATATGACAATTAGATGTTGGGATTAGGCAAGTGTCTTGATCATGGAGAAGTACCATAGTGGAAGCATTTATTTGTCACCTTCTCCTGTATTTGTGTTTAATGTTAATGGGAAATTTTCTCTTCTCCAGGAGAGCTTCAGAGCAATAATTATAATCTTGTCTATACGCTATCTATCCTTAAAACTGCCTTTATTATTACAGTAGGCATGCTGAATGAAAACTGAGATCTCCTTTGCAGTGAAGATTCACTCTACTTTTTCCAGAGTAAGGGACACTGAGAAGGAGAAGAAAGCAGCACTCCTGAGTTTGATCAGCAATCACCAACAGCAGCTGGGGGGTACGGGAAGGAAAGCAATGTTTAACATGTTCCTTTCCACTGGGGAAATAACAGGCCTTTTGTTCCCTGCAGACCTGTTTGGGGGCTTTATGTCATTTGTTATCTGTTTAGAGCAATGCTGTTGAAGAACAGCAGGAGGAAATGGCCTGCCATGCACTTCTCCAGGATGTGCTGATGTGCAGTATTTCAGGGTAGCTGACATTGCTGGGACTCCAGGAGAGGGATGCAGGTTACCTGAACAGCATCTAGTTAACACAGTGTATTCTGCTCACACAGCCACCAGTGAGATGTATTTTCAGCCCTATCATCTGACCCCTGAGAATACTGTAGAGATCCCCTGGAAATTTAAAGTTTTGCTAATAAAATCAAAAGAAGTGGGCCAGAGATGAATCACATGTGGCATATAATCTTAGCAAATAACCTTCAACCTTGGGCTGCCCACTTTGTGCTTGCAGTTCATTGTAAGCAAAAATAAAACTACTCTAATTGCCTTCAAGACGTATTTGCATCTGCTACTCACTGAAGACAAAATAACATCCCCGGTTTGCTGAGAATCAAAGACTGAGATTGACCACTTTAAAAACAGTAGGGGAAAACCCACTGTTATCTTTCATTTGACTAACAGTTTAGAAATGCTGTGTAAGAGTAGATATTTCATACCCAACTAAACTTCTGCAATGTTACTTCCACTTGGTTGTCCAATAATAAAATATTTCAGTCCCTTGAAGAGTAAATAGCTCACTCAAACATGGTATACAGTATTCCAGCTAAATTCACTTTTCATTTCCTCACTGAAGTCATAACATCCTATTGAATTGAGAGAGGGTATTTTCACCCATGAACAAAGACTCGTATTAGTCGTGGTCTTGGAATAAAGTGCACAAATACACTGATGCTTTCATAGACCTATGGTCTGCCCTCCAGCTCTGCCTTCTGAATACATGCTCATTTAGCTACTAAAAGAAGGTTATGAAGAGAAAAGGCCAACAGCTTGGACCATTGGTTTCACAAATGGGTTAAAACTGGAAACAAGTCAGCAAAACTGAGATCCAGTGAGAAGGGCATAAACTTGCCCTATTGCCACTGGCCAGGTGGGATCTAAGTGATAAAAAGAGCATCTTTTTGTCCAAATTAGGTAACTCCATTTGCTTTGTGCTGGAAACTTTGAAAATAAGACTGAGGACAAACCAGTGCAATGAAACTCCCGAAATTAAGTGGGATAAGCAGCTGGGACTACTTCTGCAGTACTGCCAATGCACCCTGTATGGAAACAGGTCACTTGGAGCGTATCTCCTAAACACCTCACCATCCTAGAAAGCATCGTGATGGACACACGCACAGAGGGCAATTCATGGTGGAAAAGCACACAGGCACCTGGGACCAGTGCTGGAAAGAGCCGTTTCACAACTCACCCAACACACCAGGAGTAGCTATTTGTTACACTGTGACCCTGTTGCCACCACCGAATCGAATGCCATGAATTTCTGCTGCAACTGGAATTTATCTTCCCATGCTCACCGTGCTGAGAGCACAACTGCTGCAGCCCCAGCAGCTATAGAAAGCACAAGGCTGAAGAGCAGGTGAACGTGCTACTACTGAACTTTGTTCAGGAAAACCCAGAGTGCCTGACCTGGGGATATCAGATGCTGTTAACACAGAGACCTCCTTAAAATACCGGCAAAAGAAGATACTACCTACTGCTGCCAACCCCCCTAGGTAACATTTATTTGCAGTGTCATACAGAAGGGAATGTTTTCTGTTTCCCCTGAACCATCCACCTTTTAATCTTCTCCTTTTCTTCTTGTTCCAACTATTGCAATATCTTACAGTTGAGAGCTTGTATCCACCCTCTCTCCTGTACATCTGCTCTTCAGTCAGCCTTCCCCTGGTCTCACCCTGCCCCATACCCTTTCTCCTGTTCAAGGGCGAATCCTCTGCAGCCTTGGTCATCTTGAGATCTCAAGAGATTACACTAAAGGCCTTAATTTGTATTTAACTTCACAGCTACCTGTTTACCAACCTTTCCCCTTCACCTGATTCTTACCCTGTTTTTCTTTCAGCCGTTTCCCTTTGGAGACCTCAGCTGCTGCTGGCTGTCAGTAAGAGTCAGATCAGGGATGCGATTCAGCAGGCAGCGGGTCCCTGCTGCCTCCCCACTCACTGCTGTGGCACAGTGCTTCCACTTAGTAAAGCCCCTGAATGTCTTCCCATGTCTCTGCTTCAGTTATCTCTCCACCCGTATTCCTGAGCACATGATGACCCTGTTTTCTACTGGTATGAAAACAACAAAAGACTTAAGTTTTCTTTTAAGTAAGGTAAAGATTTACTCTATAATTTGTACTATTGTATATTTATGTCAAGTAGACCAAAGGAATGCTGAGTCATAATAAAAGCATCATAACAACAGGTTTTGAAATACATGAAAATAAATACTTTGGAAAATCTGGAATTGATCAGTAAGTGAAATTTTCAAAAGCAACTACATGACTTAAGAGCTTCATTAACTTGAGTGGTAAACGAGATTTTTCTCAGGTGCATCTGGAAGTATTCACTTTCCTTAAACACTGAGCAGCTGTAAAAGACTTTCTGGGGATTTTCTTTCCCTCCAAAAATCACTCAAACCCACAATTTTTATCTCAGTGATGGGGATGGGGGGAGGGGGATGCAAATCCTGTTCTGATTTGCAGTGATCTAAACAAGGCCTGCATCTTTAAAAACTGCAGTTCCAGGTTACTGCTCACAGCTGGAGTGAAAATTCCTTAACAGCAGCATTTCCTACTGTGGCCTATTCTGGACTTAATTCCAAGCAAGAATTAATGTATCAGAAAAGATCAGAGTGGGGAACAAAGAAGAAACATCACTGAAGCTTTGATGGCTTTCAGTTTTGAACGAGGTGATTTAATGTGCACAACCCCAAAGACTGCAGTGTGTTTAAGGACTATGTGCAACCTAATAATGCAGTCATTTACAAACCCATTGCTCTAAAACATGAACAAGAATAAGTGTTCATAGCTAAATTTTTTTGGTTTCAGGTATAAAATTGTCCTTTTATCCTTCATATTCCATTTGGAGAGCTCTCTATAATAATAATAATAATTATAAAAATAAGTAAAAAAAAAAAACAATTCTACATCCTGTACTCAATTACACATTTGTCTTTCACTGCAAATCAATGCACACCCAGAGAATACAGATGTACAGCCAGCTGCTGCAGCCTGGAATGAGTGCTTGCAGCCAGGCCAGGAAGAAACCACCCCAATCCACACATCTGAGGTTTAAACTGTGACACATCATTCACATAGCAGTGAGGCTGCTATGCCATGCACCTCTGAAGTCACAGTCCCCAACCAGTAACAGATGATGGATGCATGTTACACATTGTACCCTATTTCTGTCAAAAAGGTACAGCAGTTTTTGTTGGGGTGGATCCTGGAGATCTGTGCTGTGCCCAGATGCTAAATATACTGGTAACTGCTAAAAATCTCAGTTGCTTAAAATTAATCAGTCATGCAAAGCAGTGCCTCAACTCTGAGCATTCCCACGGGAGGAAAGAGACCTTCCTCCTAACAGAGCTACACAACATCCTCAGCCATTGCCTTTGTTGTATCACCAAAACAGAAGAATTACCTAATTTCCTCTGAATTTGATCAGGAGCACACTAATAACAGTCCCCTGTGAACAGGGCTGGATGCTGCCACGCTAACAGCAAAGGCTGCACAGCACTTCTCTCCACACAACACAATGTCTTACTCAGGGGGCTCTGTATGTCCTCAGTGTGGCATGCCCCTGGCCTTCACCAAACGTGGATGTACCGGCTGCATCCCTGTGCTGGCACAGTCCTTAGCTGACATTTTCCAGAGGAAGAGCTCTGGGGAGCTTCAAGAGTCAACTGCTTAATATTTTGTTCTCTCCTTGCTGTTCTGCAGAGCTCTCCAGTGCCTCATTTGCAGCAAACCATCCCCCAAGGGGATGGTGCTCTTCAGTGTATGCTACCTATTAAAACACTCTGCAAACATGCAACTGAACTTAACTATGAAATACTGCTGCAGGAAAAGGAGAACAATACAAGTAGATTAAGGCCAAGAGGTTTGGGTGCCTAATCTAATTTCTCTGAATCCTGAGCTTTCCAGAGTATTTTATGTTCAAACACAGCTGCCACAGCACCTCTATGTAGCCAATAAGGAGCATATAATTCACACTTCCTAAATAAAGGCCAAGTTTTTCTGAGTTGCCTCACACCCCAGAGGAGCTCTTGTAGGTGGGAGGTCAGGACCCGTTTCTAGAGAGCAGCATTCACCCTCCTGAAACGTGGCAATGTCCTGGTCCTGCGTTTTCCAGCCTCACTCCCTGCACATCTTCAGCTCTGAGACACAAAGCAGAGGTCCAGCTGACAACAGCAGCCCCCTTCTCCATGCAGGCTTTACTTACACCTTGAGCAAGTTTACTGGGAACGAACCCAACTGAAAAGTTGTGATGCAGTGCTGTAATGGGAGGGTCCCATACAACATGCATGTGACAGTGAGCAGTGGAGAGACAATGCTTACACAGACTGCCATTAGCATTTTCTTCCAGTGCAACTTTGGGGATATAATAACTCTAGTTTGAGTTCTGTGTACTACATGGCTTGTATGTATTACACACACAACGGCTTATAAAAAATTGCAAAGCAGACTTTCCATCTCCATTGGTGCTGACAGGAATCAGCAGAGCTGAGACATCAACCCTTCTATGAAAGCTGTGGCAGTACCTGCTCACACCAGACAACCTCTGAGTAGAGATGGGGCACTGGGCAGCTGGTCTCACAGACAGAAATGGCAGAAACCCATCACCACGAAGCAATGCCAGGTTCTGGACTTCACAAGTTTGCTTTAGGGAGTGCTTTTACATACTCGCCCATCCTGGTCACAGTCCACTCCTGTCCTTACAGAGCTTTTTCTGTTCTCTCGTAACACTCCCAAGTCAGAGTCACCCCACCCAGAGCCAGGTCCACTCTGCTCACCCACCCCACTGCTTTTCACCCAAGTCCTCTCAGACAACCATTCACACTTTCCCCTTCTCTGTCCTCCCTCCTGTGCTGTGTGCCCTCTCTCTCTAGCATGACTGGTGTAACAGAAATATTTCTCTTGTTTAAATGAGGGTAAGATGGGGATACTGCTAATGTTACCCTGTTGAGGAGCTAGCCAGAAGGATGTGGCTCCTGCACCGTAAGTATTCAGTTACCAAGCCTGGCAGTAATCTGAAGATTAAGGTCATAAAATGTGGATTCAACACTTAACATTCCATAAATGGAATAACAAAATGCTCCTGATTTCTAGGAAGAAAATGTCTCTGCAAGAAATCTTCCATGATTTCTAGAAAAATGTACTAGACATCCCTGGTAGGTTTGTTAAAGGAAAAGAACAAACTCCTCTTCAAGGAGCTGGTGCTAAATCAAAACAGTATCTACAGCAATACCTTAGTACATTGTAGCCACTTGTGACACACAAAGGTAACCCTGTGTTGCAACTATAAAGCCCTTTAGGACCTATGAGGATATCTCTGCTTGCATAGGCAAAAATCCATTCTGACAGAAATCAGCAGAAATTAAAGAGCATACAGCAGCGGCAGCAGAGATGTCTTCCACCACTCTGCCACTGGCAGGAAAATCAAAAAGCGAGTGGGGGAACATTTCTACTTGCACTCTGCCTTAGCTGTTTGTATCTCCCCAGAATGGATTACATACATACAGCAGGTTATCAATTTTACTGCTTCTCTTCCTTTACTAAAACAAAAATGTGGTTGTTTTGACATGGCTTTGTAGAAAAAGGCATTAATAAACCTATTACTGACGATACCATCTTACTGCTTTGACTCATCAGTTCAGCAAAACTCTGCCACTTTTTGTAGGAAATAGAGTTGAACCCCAATACACAATCCAGGAGACTGTGTCATAATCCATATACACTGCAGTCTAAACCACAGCCTAATATTCTGCTGATCAAAATACACAAGAAAGAAGGAGAATCACAGCAGGAGCATCTGCACAGCCTCACATTTGTACAGTTACTGAACAACGCTTAGTGTGAGAGTGAAGCCCGGGAGAGCACACAGCTGTTCCTCCCCCTGTTCCACTACTGCTGAACGGGGAGCAGAAACATCAGACACAGCAACTTCTGAAGATTGACCTAAACATATCTTGGAGAACAATTAAACCAAGGTGCAGATGTTTAAGTGCGTTGCTGAACAGCACTTCCAGTGAGCTTCTTCAATGGCAAGAGCTATTTAAGGCCATTTGCAAGTCCCTAAGCAGCAGATTAAAATTGGTTTTGTTGAAAATGATGTCGTTAGCAGTTATTGTACCACTCCTATCCTCCCCCAGCGTGAAGTTTTGCTGTCGCACATCACATGGGACTAATGTCAGAGAAGTGGTTTCTGTGGCTTCCAAGCTCTCTCATGTCAAGGCTGAAGCTGACAGCGGCACTATGAATGTTCAAGGTTATCAGCCACCATGAGCTTTTCCTGCACTAAGTTTATCAGAAAAGACTGGGTGAGTTACACTCCAGCTTCAGTTAGATGTTAATGGAACCAGGACACCTAATTTCCTTTGGAGCAATTTGAAAATCCTATCTCATAAGAGTTTCCAGTTAATTTGCTTTCCCCAGTGATTCATTCTCCTTCATGTCACTGTATGAACCGAACTTACACAAGGTCTCAAATCCTTATCTTAAGGTCAGTAACAACTGTATGACTTCCATAGGTAAGAGTTCATTTCCACAGCCTTCCTGAGCTGTCTTCAAGAATTCATATGGGAGACTGCCTTGACAGACGGAGACTGGGAAAACCCCATTACAACCATGTACAAGTGCACATTATTTCCTTCTAGTCCCTTCCTGTTGCCTCTCCAGTATCTTTCTCCCTTTTCCAAAATTTTAACAAAACTCTGTTTTATTTTTCCTGGGAGGAACCACTGCCTGGTTTTTGTTCTGTCAAGATCTAAGCTGATGCTTGACCATCAAAAGCTAAATGAAAACATCATGCTTAACTCAGTCATGCTGATAGCCTAGTTTTTAAATGTAATTATGATAAAAAATCATACTCTGAGCAAAGAAATCTATATGAGCATTCTGAATATAAGCCTCAGACAAAGGCTGTGTGAACAAATTCATTGTATCATTCCCTCCTTCTGTCAATTGCCCCATTCCCTGTGTTAGATTAAAGTATATTTTGATATCCTGGACAGATACTGCACACTGACTTAGTCTCCCTGTAAAAGAGAGCAGACAACTCTTCTTTAGAGTAAACATGGGTGAGCATCAGGCTAAGGCACAGCTCTGCCCTTCCTTGTGCTGCTGTGGTAGAAAGGGCTGGTGCCTTGTCTCTATTAAAGATCCACAGCAAGGCAAACACTCCAGTTATCCCGGCATAAAGAACAGGACCTTGTGTCAATAAAGGCAAGGAGCCTTATTCTCC